TTTTTAAAGTTCTTGTTGTTTTTAAAAAATCGGGCGAAACTTAATTTTCGGAACTTTGTTTAAAGCATTTTTTCTCAAAACTTTTATCAAAAAAGTGTAATATTCACCGACTTTATCATAAACTAAAACGTTTAAGCTTTAATTTAAGGCATGCATCGCTTCCTATCTCCTAAAATTAAAGGAGTTGCGAATTTTTAAAGTTCTCGTTGCTGGTTAAGAAATCGAGGAAAATTCAATTTTTGGAACTCTCTTTAAAGCTTCTTTTTTCAAAACTTTTATAATCAACCAATAATGTTTGTCAAATCTATCAAAAACAAGAATGTTTTAGCTTCAATTTAAGATATAAATCATCTCCTGCACTCCAGAAATAATGAAGATGCGATTTTTTAAAGTTCTTGTTGTTTTTAAAAAATCGGGCAAAACTTAATTTTCGGAACTTTCTTTAAAGCATTTTTTCTCAAAACTATTATCATTAAAGTGTATTATTCACCAACTTTATCATAAACTAGAATGTTTAAGCTTTAATTTAAGGCATGCGTCGTTTCCTATTTCTTAAAATTAAAGGAGTTGCGAATTTTTAAATTTCTTGTTGCTGTTTAAGAAATCGAGGAAAATTCAATTTTTGGAACTCTCTTCAAAGCTTCTTTTCTCAAAACTTTTATAATCAAACAATAATGTTTGTCTAATCTATCAAAAACAAGTAAGTTTCAGCTTCAATTTAAGATATAAATCATCTCTTGCACTCTAGAAATAATGAAGATGTGACTTTTTAAAGTTCTTGTTGTTTTTAAAAAATCGGGCGAAACTTAATTTTCGGAACTTTGTTTAAAGCATTTTTTCTCAAAACTTTTATCAAAAAAGTGTAATATTCACCGACTTTATCATAAACTAAAACGTTTAAGCTTTAATTTAAGGCATGCATCGCTTCCTATCTCCTAAAATTAAAGGAGTTGCGAATTTTTAAAGTTCTCGTTGCTGGTTAAGAAATCGAGGAAAATTCAATTTTTGGAACTCTCTTTAAAGCTTCTTTTTTCAAAACTTTTATAATCAACCAATAATGTTTGTCAAATCTATCAAAAACAAGAATGTTTTAGCTCCAATTTAAGATATAAATCATCTCCTGCACTCCAGAAATAATGAAGATGCGATTTTTTAAAGTTCTTGTTGTTTTTAAAAAATCGGGCAAAACTTAATTTTCGGAACTTTCTTTAAAGCATTTTTTCTCAAAACTATTATCATTAAAGTGTATTATTCACCAACTTTATCATAAACTAGAATGTTTAAGCTTTAATTTAAGGCATGCGTCGTTTCCTATTTCTTAAAATTAAAGGAGTTGCGAATTTTTAAATTTCTTGTTGCTGTTTAAGAAATCGAGGAAAATTTAATTTTTGGAACTCTCTTCAAAGCTTCTTTTCTCAAAACTTTTATAATCAAACAATAATGTTTGTCTAATCTATCAAAAACAAGAAAGTTTCAGCTTCAATTTAAGATATAAATCATCTCCTGCACTCCAGAAATAATGAATATACGATTTTTTAAAGTTCTTGTTGTTTTTTAAAAAATCGAGCGAAACTTAATTTTCGGAACTTTCTTTAAAGCATTTTTTCTCAAAACTTTTATCATCAAAGTGTACTATTCGCCAACTTTATCATAAACTAGAATGTTTGAGCTATAATTTAAGGCATGCATCGTTTCCTATCTCCTAAAATTAAAGGAATTGCGAATTTTTAAAGTTCTTGTTGCTGTTTAAGAAATCGAGGAAAATTCAATTTTTGGAACTCTCTTCAAAGCTTCTTTTTTCAAAACTTTTATAATCAAACAATAATGTTTGTCTAATCTATCAAAAACAAGAAAGTTTCAGCTTCAATTTAAGATATAAATCATCTCCTGCACTCCAGAAATAATGAATATACGATTTTTTAAAGTTCTTGTTGTTTTTTAAAAAATCGAGCGAAACTTAATTTTCGGAACTTTCTTTAAAGCATTTTTTCTCAAAACTTTTATCATCAAAGTGTACTATTCGCCAACTTTATCATAAACTAGAATGTTTGAGCTATAATTTAAGGCATGCATCGTTTCCTATCTCCTAAAATTAAAGGAATTGCGAATTTTTAAAGTTCTTGTTGCTGTTTAAGAAATCGAGGAAAATTCAATTTTTGGAACTCTCTTCAAAGCTTCTTTTTTCAAAACTTTTATAATCAAACAATAATGTTTGTCAAATCTATCAAATACAAGAATGTTTTAGCTTCAATTTAAGATATAAATCATCTCTTGCAGTCCAGAAATAATGAAGATGCGATTTTTTAAAGTTCTTGTTATTTTTAAAAAAATCGGGCAAAAGTTAATTTTCGGAACTTTCTTTAAAGCATTTTTTCTCAAAACTTTTATCATCAAAGTGTACTATTCACCAATTTTATCATAAACTAGAATGTTTAAGCTTTAATTTAAGGTATACATCGCTTCCTATCTCTTAAAATTAAAGTAGTTGCGAATTTTTAAAGTTCTCATTGCTGGTTAAGAAATAGAGGAAAATTCAATTTTTGGAACTCTCTTCAAAGCTTCTTTTTTCAAAACTTTTATAATCAAACAATAATGTTTGTCAAATCTATCAAATACAAGAATGTTTTAGCTTCAATTTAAGATATAAATCATCTCTTGCACTCCAGAAATAATGAAGATGCGATTTTCTCCAAACTTTCATCATTAAAGTGTACTATTCGCTAACTTTATCATAAACTAAAATGTTTAAGCTTTAATTTAAGGCATGCATCGTTTCCTATCTCCTAAAATTATAGGAGTTGCGAATTTTTAAAATTCTTGCTGCTGTTTAAGAAATCGAGGAAAATTCAATTTTTGGAACTCTCTTCAAAGCTTCTTTTCTCGAAACTTTTATAATCAAACAATAACGTTTATTAAATCTATCAAAAACAAGAATGTTTTAGCTCCAATTTAAGATATAAATCATCTCCTCCACTCCAGAAATAATGATGATGTGATTTTTTAAAGTTCTTGTTGTTTTTTAAAAAATCGGGAGAAACTTAATTTTCGAAACTTTGTTTAAAGCATTTTTCTCAAAACTTTTATCATCAAAGTGTACTATTCACCAACTTTATCATAAACTAAAATGTTTAAGCTTTAATTTAAGGCATACATCGATTCCCATCTCCTAAAATTAAAGGAGTTGCGAATTTTTAAAGTTCTTGCTGCTGTTTAAGAAATCGAGGAAAATTCAATTTTTGGAACTCTCTTCAAAGCTTCTTTCCTCAAAACTTTTATAATCAAACAATAATGTTTGTCAAATCTATCAAAAACAAGAATGTTTCAGCTTCAATTTAAGATATAAATCATCTCTTTCACTCCAGAAATAATGAAGATGTGATATTTTAAAGTTCTTGTTGTTTATAAAAAATCGGGCGAAACTTAATTTTCGGAACTTTGTTTAAAGCATTTTTTTTCAAAACTTTTATCAAAAAAGTGTAATATTCACCGACTTTATCATAAACTAAAACGTTTAAGCTTTAATTTAAGGCATTCAATTTAAGATATAAATCATCTCTTTCACTCCAGAAATAATGAAGATGCGATTTTTTAAAGTTCTTGTTGTTTTTAAAAAATCGGGCAAAACTTAATTTTCGGAACATTCTTTAAAGCATTTTTTCTCAAAACTTTTATCATTAAAGTGTACTATTCGCTAACTTTATCATAAACTAAAATGTTTAAGCTTTAATTTAAGGCATGCATCGCTTCCTATCTCCTAAAATTAAAGGAGTTGCGAATTTTTAAAGTTCTTGCTGCTGTTTAAGAAATCGAGGAAAATTCAATTTTTGGAACTCTCTTCAAAGCTTCTTTTCTCAAAACTTTTATAATCAAACAATAATGTTTGTCAAATCTATCAAAAACAAGAATGTTTCAGCTTCAATTTAAGATATAAATCATCTCTTGCACTCCAGAAATAATGAAGATGTGACTTTTTAAAGTTCTTGTTATTTTTAAAAAATCGGGCAAAAGTTAATTTTCGGAACTTTCTTTAAAGCATTTTTTCTCAAAACTTTTATCATCAAAGTGTAATATTCACCAACTTTATCGTAAACTAGAATGTTTAAGCTTTAATTTAAGGCATGCATCGCTGCCTATCTCCTAAAATTAAAGGAGTTGCGAATTTTTAAAGTTCTTGCTGCTGTTCAAGAAATCGAGGAAAATTCAATTTTTGGAACTCTCTTCAAAGCTTCTTTTCTCAAAACTTTTATAATCAAACAATAATGTTTGTCAAATCTATCAAAAACAAGAAAGTTTCAGCTTCAATTTAAGATATAAATCATCTCTTGCACTCCAGAAATAATGAAGATGCGATTTTTTAAAGTTCTTGTTGTTTTTTAAAAAATCGGGCAAAACTTAATTTTCGGAACTTTCTTTAAAGCATTTTTTCTCAAAACTTTTATCATCAAAGTGTACTATTCATCAACTTTATCATAAACTAGAATGTTTAAGCTTTAATTTAAGGCATGCATCGCTTTCTATCTCCTAAAATTAAAGGAGTTGCGAATTTTTAAAGTTCTTGCTGCTGTTTAAGAAATCGAGGAAAATTCAATTTTTGGAACTCTCTTCAAAGCTTCTTTTCTCAAAACTTTTATAATCAAACAATAATGTTTATCAAATCTATCAAAAACAAGAACGTTTTAGCTCCAATTTAAGATATAAATCATCTTCTCCACTCCAGAAATAATGAAGATGTGATTATTTAAAGCTCTTGTTGTTTTTTTTTTAATCGAGCAAAATTTGATTTATTTCAAACATTTTTTTCTCAAAATTTTTATAATTAAACAATAATGTTTGTCGAATTTATCACAAACTAGAAAGTTTTAGCTTCATTTTAAGATATAAATCGTTTCTTTTTCCCCAGAAATAATGCAGATGTGCTTTTTTAAAGTTGTTGGTTCAAAAAACGTTTTGTCACACAAATTGCAGGATGATTTCGAGTACTTATTTTAAAGATTTTAAATAAGAAAAGAATTATAAATAGTTAACTTACGCACTAGGACCTTCCCACGTCCAAGTAACAGTATCCAATTTATTTGGGTATCTAATACAAACTGGTTGAACTGGAACACCGGGATAAAAAGCACCAGGTTTAAACGTGATCAAACACGACCGATTAGTACAAGTTCCTTCCGGGAAAATTAAGATTTGGGGCCAATCTAAATCCGATTTTGTGCGAGAGATAATCTCCTTTATGCTGTTTTGACGTGAATTAGGGTCGTCTCTCCATACATAAACGGGTTGTGTAAAATTGATCAATTCTAAACGATTAAAAATAATAATTAATCAATAACTAAATACAAAATAATTAAGAGAAGGCCTTTTATTGGGACCAAAACATTTCTTTCAATTTCCTATTGAAAAAAGAGAAATAAAATAGACATACTTCCTATGTATGGGTTATTTCCGCTTTCTCTACGTACAATGAGCGACGGGAAACCTGTAAAATAAACGATTCCTCCATCGAGAAACGTCGAATGGGGCGCAATTACTAATATTGGCGCTTCCTGTCTTGAAGCCTGTTTGCCTTTGATGGCTATTTGCATCCCACCAGCTTGGAAAGTTGCGCGTCCCAACCAACACAAAATTTGTGTTGTTTTCCTTAAATTAAATAGATTAATTAATTTAGATTAAAATTATTTACAAAAACCATCACCGTATTAAAATAAATTAAAGAAGAAATGTTTTGATTACAATTAGCCTTCACCAAATTACAAATTAATAAAATTAAAATTAACCTCGACCGTTTCCGGTTCTTATTAAGTCATTAACGTGCGATTAGTTATAAAAAAAAAGAAATAAATGTTAAAGAAAACCTACGTCCGAAGAAAGGTAATGAAGCAGTTTCCCCTTTGGCCACAATCGAAGGAGCCCCCATGTGCGGGATAATAATACTGTCGCAGAAGGATGAATGAGGCGCCAAAGCGACTATTGGTGCTTCTTTTCGACCAACACGCTTCCCTTTTACTTTAAGCCGGAAACCGCCGGCATAAAAGATGCCCATCACGCAACACGATGCCCCAAAACGAAGCGAACTTGATTTGTAATAAAAAGGCAAAATAAACCAGGAACCGGGAACAAACCATGTGTTAGTATTAATCTATTTCAAAATATCGATTAAAAATTCTTTAAAGTTCGATCAAAAACATTTGATTATTATGTGACATTAAATAACTTTGATTTTTTGAATCATTTTAAAGAATTTTTTTTATAAAGGATTAAAAAGCGTTTTTTTTTTTTTAATAAATAATAAAATTCTTACCGTCGCCATCCAGTGATTGGTTTCTTTTGTAATTCCTCTTCTGAAATGCCCCAAAGTGCCACACAAGCAATCATCCAACCGAGTACTAAAAAGAAGCAGATCACAGCTACCCGAATCGGTAGAAGAACTATCGTTAAGAAGGCCGTCTGCAATAAAGTACAAGTTTTTAAATCGGAAATCTTTTTAATATCCATCTTTTTATTCGGAAATTTTTTCCGAAAAATGACAGAAATAAATTCAAATAAATTATTGTTTTGTCAGAAACATTTCAACATCACCATAGGAACCGCTTAAATAATTCTTTTTAATTACTACCGTGTTCAATTTATCGTGTTTAACACGAAAAGGTGATAAGATAAATTTATTTATCTTGTAATAATAATAATATTTATTAGAAATTACAAACAACATAAACATACAAATATGAGATAATGATAACAAAAATTAACTCAAATAAACTACTTGTAACGATAACATTTCTTTGTTATTGAATTTATTATTCGATTAAAATCGTTTCAAAATCAATTTTTACATTTACCGGTAAATGTGTACATTTCCTAAACACGCACATTTATCATAACACATAATTAGAATTGAAAAAATGTTGAAAAGAAATTGAAATGTAAAGATTTTGCGAGTTCATGGACGATGTTAAGATAAATAACGAAGATGATGTTGAGAAATGGTGTTTAAATGGGGATGATGTTAAAGGTGACTAGGACAGGAGTAATTTAAGATTATGTTAGTAGATATCAGTGGTAATGATAATACTTTATGCAGAAGACTAAAACCTGCGGGAGAAAACTAGATTCTGCGAACAAAAAATTATATATCGCTACCAAAAGAATAAATGGTGCTACTGAAGAGCTAGCTACAATCGTGACAAGAGTAGATAGTGTTTGTTAAACAAGAATTACTGCTTGTATATATATAGATACTACTGGCAGAACGATAGATATCAAGCAGAAGACTAGATACTGCTTGCAGAAGACTTAATACTGTCGGTAGAAGACTTGATACGGCTAGTAGAAGACTAGATATTGCTTGCAGAAGACTTGATATTACTTGCAAAAAATTTGATTTTGATGGTAGAAGACTAAATATTGCTTGAAGGCTTGATACTGCGCGCAGAATACTTTATACTACCATCAGAAGACTAGATACTGCTTGAAGAAGAGTATATACTATTTGAAAAAGACTAAATACTACTTGATAACTAGACACTGCTTCCAGAAGACTTAATTCTACTTGCAAATGACTTGATATTGCTGATAGACGACTAGATGTTACTTAAAGAAGACTAGATACTGCTGACAGAAGACACTATACTGCTGGTAGACAACGAGATACTGCTTGAAGACTAGAAATAGCGTTTAAATTAATGATGGGGATGATGTTAAAGGTGACTAGGATAGGAGTGATGTATGATTATGATATTGATTATGTGATGGAACGGATAGTGTTTTTGTGAAAAGCCGGATATCGGATATTCGGCATCCCCTTCGGCCGGATATCCGGTTATCCGGCATATATATCCGGCCATTATGGTTATATATTGCCACATTATGGCCATATTTGAATAAAAATGAAATTAATAAGAAAGCTGATAAGATATGTCAACTTATTTGGATCATGTTTTCTCAAAAACTAAAAGTTATTTTTCAAAACGTGTTTGTTCATTGGAAAGAAGATACTCTTATTAACACTTTGGAAAATTTTCAAACTCATATTCCACGAAATGGATTTTATATGAATTTTTAAAACTTTAATCGGAAAAAATTGCAAAATTCGAAAAAATTGTCGATAATTTCAAAAATTTATTTCTCAAAAACTAAAAGCGATTTTTCAAAACGGCTTGCTGCATTAAAAAGAGGATATTTTAATTAATAATTGGTGATATTTCCACAAAAATCTTTCAAGAAATGAATTTTATAGCGAATTTTGAAAGTTATCGATGAAAATTGCAACATCGAAAATTTGATCAAAACTTCAAGTATTGTTTTCTCAAAAACTAAAAGTTATTTTTCAAAACGTGTTGGTTCATTGGAAAGAGGATACTATTATTAATACTTTGGAAAATTTTCAAACTCATATTCCACGAAATGGATTTTATACGAATTTTTAAAACTTAATCGGCGAAAATTGCAAAATTCGAAAAAATTGTCGATAATTTCAAACATTTATTTCTCAAAAACTAAAAGCGATTTTTCAAAACGCCTTGCTGCATTAAAAAGAGGATATTTTAATTAATAATTGGTGATATTTTCACAAAAATCCTTCAAAAAATGAATTTTATAGCGAATTCTGAAAGTTATCGATGAAATTTGCAACATCGAAAATTTGATCAAAACTTCAAATATTGTTTTCTCAAAAACTAAAAGCTATTTTTCAAAACTGGTTGGTTCATTGGAAAGAAGATTCGATAATTATTAGATATTAACACTTTAGAAGATATTTGGTAACTATCCGGTATCCGGCCTATTCGGCCATTTTTTAAAATCCGGCCGGATACCGGATACTTGCCGGATATTCGCTCCACCACTAGTAGATGTCAGTGGTAATGGGAGAAAACTAGATTCTGCGGACAAAAAATTATATATCCCTACTAAAATAGATGTTGCTAGTGAAGAACTAGCTACAATCGTTACAAGACTAGATAATATTTGTTAAAGATAAATTACTGCTTGCATATGAATAGATACGACTCGCAGAAGACTAGATATTGACTTAATACTGCGGTAGAAGATTTGATGCTGCTGGTAGAAGACTAGATATTGCTTGAAGGCTTGATACTGCGTGCAGAATACTTGATACTACTGTTAGAAGACTGCTTGAAGAAGAGTCTATAGTATATACTACTTGAAGAAGACTAAATACTGCTTGAAGACTAGATACTGCTGGGAGTAGACACTATACTGCTAGTAAAAAACGAGATACTGCTTCAAGAAGAGTAGATACTACTTGAAAACTAGATATTGCTTGCAGAAGACTTAATTCAGGTCTAGATACTGCTAATAGAATTCAATCTGCATATTTTAAAGCTACCTGCGATGTTTTGTTTTGAATGATCCTAATTTGAAAGAGTAACATAATCAGCAAACCCCCATCATTACATCATAATTCAGATACTTCGTAATAGGAACTTTATGATATAAATGGACCGTATACAACTAGCCAGGTTGTCTTCTTGGATATCAGCACTCCATATTAATGTGTAATGAACTTGGATTTAGTAGGACAGAAATTATGGAACTTGTTCCGAATTGACGTTTTGGTGTTTTATTGTGTCTAATTTTAACAGGGCATGATTCTCATTGAAGCAATTACCAAGTCTATCTAGCATTATGTATCTATTCAATTTTGTATATAACCGTCAGGTGATATCCAAGTCGTTTTATGAATATTTTTGATTTAAAAATAGATGCTTGATATAGTCATATTCAGTGATTTTGCCTTTATGAGTCTTATTCCATTGTCATTATTCTCTTGGCCCCTCTTGGTCTCCTGTGGTTGCTCCAAACCAAACAAGTTGAAAAACCTTCCCTTTATTCGCAGTTTGGAGAGTCTAGTATTTATTGATGACAGTATGTTTAATACTGTTCTTAACTATAACGATAAGACGACTTCGAAAGAATACTAGTATAAAACTAAGAGTAACACTAGACCTAGAACTAGAAACATTCGGGTTTAGCCGTGCGTCTGAAGACGCACCAGTATCTAATCTGCTCTAGTTTTCTATTAGCAGTATCTAGTCCACTAATAGTAGTACCAACTCTTGCACGTAATATCTAGTCTTCTATTAGCAGTGTATACTCTTCATCAAGCAGTAGCTAATCTTCTTGAAGTAATATCTAGTACACTACCAGCAGTATTTGGCCTTCTATCAGCATTGTAAAGTTTTCTACAAACAGTTTTAAGTCTTCTGACAGCAATATCTAGAATAGGGCCGTTAAGGTCAATCGATTAGAAAGACCGTCTTGCAAAAAATCGATAATCTAAATTAAATTAGACGGATGAGTAACGTTTTCACGTTCGAAAATTGTTTAATTTTTGCAATAATTAATGTAAAAGTTTAAAATTTCCCACCCCCCGACTCCAGACGACGTTTTAAGTAAGAAGAAAGAAATCACAAACGTTCTATGTTCTCCCGTTTTCTTCTGTTTTCTTCTAGTGCATAAAATTCGTAGCATTGTTTCTCTCCAGACATTTTATTGATTTTTATACGCTCTAATCGTACGCTCTAATCTGAGTGACGTACTTTGGAGTTCCCGCCCTGTAATTTCAAACTTTATTATTTTTTTTTTGCGAAACTAAGCCACAGAATCAAAAATTAAAAAATATAGGGTCAATCAATATTAAAAAACTTTCGAATAAGCCAATAAAAAAAAATACTTAACGGCCCTATTCAAGCAGTATCCAATCTTCTTTAAATAGTATCTAGTCGTCTACCAGCAATATCAGGTCTTTTGCAAGTAGTTGAAGTCTTCTGCAAGTAGTATCTAGTTTTTAAGCAGTATCTCCTTGTCTACCATCAGTATAGTGTCTTCTGTCAACAGTATCTAGCCTTCAAGCGGTAGCTAATTTTCTTGNGTCATTATTCTCTTGGCCCCTCTTGGTCTCCTGTGGTTGCTCCAAACCAGACAAGTTGAAAAACCTTCCCTTTATTCGCAGTTTGGAGAGTCTAGTATTTATTGGTTAGAATCTGATGACAGTATGTTTAACACTGTTCTTAACTATAACGATAAGACGATTTCTAAAGAATGCTAGTATAAAACTAAGACTAACACTAGACCTAGAACTAGAAACATTCGGGTTTAGCCGTGCGTCTGAAGACGCACCAGTATCTAATCTGCTCTAGTTTTCTATTAGCAGTATCTAGTCCACTAATAGTAGTACCAACTCTTGCACGTAATATCTAGTCTTCTATTAGCAGTGTATACTCTTCATCAAGCAGTAGCTAATCTTCTTGAATTAATATCTAGTATACTACCAGCAGTATTTGGCCTTCTATCAGCATACTTTGGAGTTCGCGCCCTGTAGTTTCAAACATTATTTTTTTTTTTTGGAAAAACTAAGCATCAGAATCAAAAATTAAAAAATATAGGGTCAATCAATGTTAAAAAACTTTCGAATAAGCCAATAAAAAAAAATACTTAACGGCCCTATTCAAGCAGTATCCAATCTTCTTTAAGTAGTATCTAGTCGTCTACCAGCAATATCAAGTCTTTTACAAGCAGTTGAAGTCTTCTGCAAGTAGTATCTAGTTTTTAAGCAGTATCTAGTCTTTTTAAAACAGTATCTCCTTGTCTACCATCAGTATAGTGTCTTCTGTCCACAGTATTTAGCCTTCAAACAGTAGCTAATCTTCTTGAAGTAATATCTAATTTACTACCAGCAGTATTTGGTCTTCTATTAGCATTGTAAAGTCTTCTATAAGCAATATCAAGTCTTCTACCTGAGTATCTAGAATTCAAGTAGTATCCAATCTTCTTTAAGTAGTATTTAGTCGTCTACCAGCAATATCAAGTCTTCTGCCACCAGTATCTAATCTTCAAGCAGTATCTAGTCTTCTTCAAACAGCATACAGTTTTTGTTAAGTAGCATCTAGTCGTCTATCAGCAATATCAAGTCTTTTGCAAGCAGTTGAAGTCTTCTTCAAGTAGTATCTAGTTTTTAAGCAGTATCTCCTTGTCTACCACCAGTATAGCGTCTTCTGTCAACAGTATCTAGCCTTCAATCGGTAGCTAATTTTCTTGAAGTAATATCTAATTTACTACCAGCAGTATTTGGTCATCTATCAGCATTGTAAAGTCTTATACAAGCAATATCAAGTCTTCTACCAAGAGTATCTAGAATGCAACCAGTATTCAATCTTCTTTAAGTAGTATTTAGTCGTCTACCAGTAATATAAAGTCTTCTGCCACCAGTATCTAATCTTCAAGCAGTATCTGGTCTTCTTCAAACAGCATCCAGTTTTCTTTAAGTAGCATCTAGTCGTCTACCAGCAATATCAAGTCTTTTACAAGCAATTGAAGTCTTCTGCAAATAGTATCTAGTTTTTAAGCAGTATCTCCTTGTCTACCATCAGTATAGTGTCTTCTGTCAACAGTATCTAGCCTTCAAGCGGTAGCTAATTTTCTTGAAGTAATATCTAATTTACTACCAGCAGTATTTGGTCTTCTATCAGCATTGTAAAGTCTTCTACAAGCAATATCAAGTCTTCTACCAGCAGTTGAAGTCTTCTGCAAGTAGTATCTAGTTTTTAAGCAGTATCTCCTTGTCTACCATCAGTATAGTGTCTTCTGTCAACAGTATCTAGCCTTCAAGCGGTAGCTAATTTTCTTGAAGTAATATCTAATTTACTACCAGCAGTATTTGGTCTTCTATCAGCATTGTAAAGTCTTCTACAAGCAATATCAAGTCTTCTACCAGCAGTATCTAGAATGCAAGCAGTATTCAATCTTCTTTAAGTAGTATTTAGTCGTCTACCAGCAATATCAAGTCTTCTGCTACCAGTATCTAATCTTCAAGCAGTATCTAGTCTTCTTCAAACAGCATACAGTTTTCTTTAAGTAGCAACTAGTCGTCTACCAGCAATATCAAGTCTTTTACAAGCAGTTCAAGTCTTCTGCAAGTAGTATCTAGTTTTTAAGCAGTATCTCCTTGTCTACCATCAGTATAGTGTCTTCTGTCAACAGTATCTAGCCTTCAAGTGGTAGCTAATCTTCTTGAAGTAATTTCTAGTTTACTACCAGCAGTATTTGGTCTTCTATCAACATTGTAAAGTCTTCTACAAGCAATATCAAGTCTTCTACCAGCAGTATCTAGAATTCAAGCAGTATCCAATCTTGTTTAAGTAGTATTTAGTCGTCTACCAGCAATATCAAGTTTTCTGCCACCAGTATCTAATTTTCAAGCTATATCTAGTATTCTTCAAACAGCATCCAGTTTTCTATAAGTAGCATCTAGTCGTCTACCAGCAATATCAAGTCTTTTGCAAGCAGTTGAAGTCTTCTGCAAGTAGTATCTAGCTTTTAAGCAGTATCTAGTCTTTTTAAAGCAGTATTTCCTGGTCTGCCACCAATATAATGTCTTCTGTCAACAGTATCTAGCCTTCAAGCAGTAGCTAATCTTCTTGAAGTAATATCTAGTTTACTACTAGCAGTATTTGGTCTTCTATTAGCATTGTAAAGTCTTCTATAAGCAATATCAAGTCTTCTACCAGGAGTATCTAGAATTCAAGCAGTATCCAATCTTCTTTAAGTAGTATTTAGTCGTCTACCAGCAATATCAAGTCTTCTGCCACCAGTATCTAATCTTCAAGCAGTATCTAGTCTTCTTCAAACAGCATACAGTTTTTGTTAAGTAGCATCTAGTCGTCTATCAGCAATATCAAGTCTTTTGCAAGCAGTTGAAGTCTTCTTCAAGTAGTATCTAGTTTTTAAGCAGTATCTCCTTGTCTACCACCAGTATAGCGTCTTCTGTCAACAGTATCTAGCCTTCAATCGGTAGCTAATTTTCTTGAAGTAATATCTAATTTACTACCAGCAGTATTTGGTCATCTATCAGCATTGTAAAGTCTTATACAAGCAATATCAAGTCTTCTACCAAGAGTATCTAGAATGCAACCAGTATTCAATCTTCTTTAAGTAGTATTTAGTCGTCTACCAGTAATATAAAGTCTTCTGCCACCAGTATCTAATCTTCAAGCAGTATCTGGTCTTCTTCAAACAGCATCCAGTTTTCTTTAAGTAGCATCTAGTCGTCTACCAGCAATATCAAGTCTTTTACAAGCAATTGAAGTCTTCTGCAAATAGTATCTAGTTTTTAAGCAGTATCTCCTTGTCTACCATCAGTATAGTGTCTTCTGTCAACAGTATCTAGCCTTCAAGCGGTAGCTAATTTTCTTGAAGTAATATCTAATTTACTACCAGCAGTATTTGGTCTTCTATCAGCATTGTAAAGTCTTCTACAAGCAATATCAAGTCTTTTACAAGCAGTTGAAGTCTTCTGCAAGTAGTATCTAGTTTTTAAGCAGGATCTAGTCTTTTTAAAGCAGTATCTCCTTGTCTACCATCAGTGTAGTGTCTTCTGTCAACAGTATCTAGCCTTCAAGCAGTAACTAATCTTCTTGAAGTAATATCTAGTTTACTACCAGCAGTATTTGGTCTTCTATCAGCATTGTAAAGTCTTCTACGAGCAATATCAAGTCTTCTACCAGCAGTATCTAGAATTCAAGCTTCTTTAAGTAGTATCATCGTAACAGTAGACCTAGAAATAGAAACTTTCGGGTTAAGCCGTGCGTCTTTTGAAAAAGTGTTAAACAAGTTCGAAGTAAGTGAAAGTAGAATTTGTCTTATGCAGACTTTGTCGCCTCTTCATTTTCGGAGCTATGTAGAGAGACGCCGATTGGCTTTTTAAGAATAGACTTCAAAGCTGTTATGACGCATCCATTCTAATTCATCATTGACTGTGCCATCCACAATTATTATATTTCTGACATGATTTCTTTTTTAATTTAATTGTAAGTATTAAAAAAGCAACTCCAGAAATTCCGATGTTGCTAATAAGGTTAACATAATAACTAAGTACTTCATAACATTGCATAATCTTCTTAAAGACGATTGAATTAATAAATTTAACCGCAAAACGAAAGGTTATAACCACAAACTATTTCATTCATTTTCTTACATGGAAAATCGTTAAATCTTTTCTAATGTTGTATTCTTTTTAGTTTCTCCACCAAAGCAGGAAGCGGTTGGAAAGAAATAAACGGTTCTTCCGCGTCCGGAGAAACTTTCTCTTTATTACACGCAGTGTTTTAAAATTTTTAAGAAGTGATCGTATCGAATAGTGAATAGCAGGTTTCGTTTCACAACGATGCCATCAAGAAATCGCACACCTATAAAACGAATTCCCGTTAAGTCATATCCTTACGATGCGATACTCAATGGATGATAAAATCTCGGTTAGTAGAATAGAAGGAATTCTTAGAATAGAACATGATGAACGATATCTTTCAAAAACGAGGACGAAAAATTAATCGAAAAAGAAGGTTCGAAAGGAACTTGGTTAATTCATTAACATGGTTTAATACAATTTAGGTTAGATTGTTAAAATTTTTACTTATCTATAAATAAATTCGTAAAAATAGATTAAACTGAACACGTCTTAATTTAGAATGATGTATTTTTAAGTTTTTGACGCATTTTGAATGTTTTTTAATTAAACTACGACAAAAATGGAAAAAAAATTGACTTTCTCTTCATCTATACTCTATACAAACGGCTTTCGATGTGAATTATAAAATATTTTTATCTTGGTCCATTCTCCTAATCACTAAATGATTTGATTTGTGAAACTAATGAGTTATCCTCGATTTTCTATGCACGAAATGGAAAGGTTGCTTTTGTTGTATTCATGATTAGAATGCAAAATGAGAAAGAATTAACATTATTAACAAGGTTATGAATTACTTTCTGTTTAGATGAGATTTGAAAATAAACGGGAGAAATTATTAAATTAATAATTAATTAAATCGTTAAATGTCAATTTGACGTCTGTCAAATAAAGTGTTAATTTTTTAAAAATTAATTTGACATTTCAAACGTCATTTTTTTATTTGACGTTTTAAAAGTTAACACATTTAATTAATTTGTTGAAGTGTAAGTGATTAATAAGATAAAATATTTAAAATCATCACGGATTTGAAACCAAGAAGAAATTTCTCCACTTTCTCTCTAAAAAGTCTAAAGAATCTAAAGAGTTAAGTAAAAATACGCAGCTGTGTTCGACAAGACGAGTTTTTCTCCAAACAAATATACAAAAATAGATTTTCTTTAATAACTTTATTTTAAACACACTTTTTTTTAGCTTACCTTTATTTTTTCACCAGTTGTTTCTAATTCTAGGTGATGTACGAAAGGGTTTGGCATATCATCACGTTGATAATCATTTTCTGTTGAGTTTGTTGACGATTTTTGCCAAGGGGGACGATAGTTTTCGTTCATGATGAAAAATGTTTTTGTAGCTTGAAATGGATGTTTTGCACGAACTATATAGGCACGTGAACTTTACGAAACCGTCATCGTTTATGAAAGTGGCTGTAGAAATTGCGCGCCTTGCGAAAATACAAACGGAATCCCTTCCATGGCTTTTACCAATACAAAATGTAAGCCACCAATCGAAAGTGATGATTTTACCGCAAAACATCAATACGAACACCACGAATTTAGCACCATCTCTTATTTATTAACATAATGATTATTTTATTACAGGAATCTGTAATTAATGTTTACGTTTACTAAAAGAAAGTAAATAAGTTTTATTTTAATTTAATGTGAAATGAATGAAATAGAGTTAAAGATTCAAAAAAGTATTGTTCAGCTTTGTAAGTTTCTTCCTGATTTTGTTAATAAATGGAAAGATTTATTAAACGAGGGTAAAAAACCGATTCGTGGTTTACTTAACCTCTCTGAACAGTTGAGACATGTAGAAAGGTGAGGAATTAACATTTTAAAACTAATAATTAATTTTATTTCAATTTTAGTGTAAATAAAGCACATGAGGAAGATTTTTTTGAGATGCAACAACGAATTTTATTTAGCATTTATGTGGGAATAGAAGAGGAAATGGAAATTATTAAAAAGATACTGTACGAATTCATAACTAATGAAATCCTTATTAATATACAGCATGCAAAATCTGTATTCAAACACCCACCGAAAAATTAGAAAATCACGAATTACACAAGAATGGTGGTACAAATTTCAAATCTTTTTGATGATTTATTTCATTTAAAAGAAGAGTAAAAGCATAAATAGATTGCTAAGCACTATTGTTAAGCACTAGTTTTTTCAAAAACCTTCAAAATCAGTTGAATTATTGTAAAAATTGCGGAAAATCTTTGATTGAAATCAAGCAATGTGTGGTGTGGAATTATAAAAAGACAGGTAAAGTTAACAAAGCACTACAAAATGTAAATCGATCAAAGTTATTATTATTAATGCCTATATGCCTTATATACCTCTCAGATCTATTGTACCTTTTGCCCTCCAAAAATTTAGGGCAAATGTAGGTCCTTAATGAACCTTAGTATTGCTTCAAGGTCTTGTTCCTTTATGTCAGTAGGTGTCAAAAGAGCTTTATCAAAAATTTTGTGTCTTAGGAAGCCTCTGGCGCTTGAATTACACAGTATATATTCATCCGTTTTTGACTCGTCGTTGCAAGCTCGACAAGTTTGATTCTCAGCTTGTCCAATGTGGAAAAGGTGGTATTTTAGAGGCGCAGAGCCGGTCAAGAAACCTGAGAGCGTCCTTGTATCCCCTTTGCTAAGGCATACAACCTCTTTGGATTTGTTTTGGAACAGAGTTATCATACTCTTCGCTTGTCTGTGACCTGGAAGGTACCTTTGAGGCCTCCCAACTATTGATTACTTGTTTTAGGTGGCTTTTTTGTAGTCTACAACCGGGTTGGGGTCCAATAAAGGGCTGCCTCTTTGGCCAGCCTTTCCTCCTTCTCATTGCCCTCAATGTCTCTGTGACCTGGAACCCATCATAGAGTAACATCATTACCCCTACCGAGTTTTCTCAGGTTGCTACTCTGTGATCAGTGCGGAGTGTAGGCCTGAATTGTCTTTAGGGCCTGACTGTCTGTGAAAATGTTTATGGACTTAATGTCACTAGACCCTAAGTGTTAGTCCATAACACTTAGGGAGAACTGAGACTACTGACAACTGAGAACGAACGGAGACTACTGACAGAGCTTAGTAGTGCTAGTTAGCACGACAAAACGCTAGGTTGTGTATTGTTATTGACATAAAACTATACCTTTTCAAGCACAAATTGGCACTAATCAGAATCAAAATGACATTAGTCAAAATCATATTGGCAATGTCAATTTCAAATTGGTTCAAAATCAAATTGACAATAATCAAAATTAAAATGGCATTAGTCAATATCAAATTGGCAATAAACAATATCATATTGGCATTAATCAACAAATTTAGCACTAATCAAAAGCAAATCGTCATTAAACAAAATCATTTTATTGATTTACAAACACAGTAGATAACAATTATATTACTTAAGAAAGTAGGTAACGTTATGTTTTAAATAACACTCTTAAAAATTTATATCTTGCATATTCAATGCAGAAGGGATAAATCGTTGGATGTGGGCAATAAACATTGCGCAATTGGCAACAGTAATCTTGTCCATATTATTATGAACGGTGTTCTCTAATTTCTGCATTCGATATTCTGTTTGAGTCAGATGATCCCGGTCAGCACCAGCCAAGATGTTATTTAGCTGTACAGCCATATCTGCTTTTACTCCTGCTTTTAATGCAGACCACGCTTGTTCAATAGGATTAAACATAGGGCTGTACGGACTTAGTCGTAAAAGTGTGTGGTGTTCAAATTCGTTTTCTGCAAAAACCTCTTCAATAGTAGAGTGGCATGGAGCATTATCAATAACTAATGCAACTCCAGTTTGGTAAAGGCCTTGCGCTCTTCTTAGGCATTGCCTCACAAATTCATTTGCTTCCGGCTTCTTGAAAGAGCCCCGACGTAGTTCGGAATGAATTAGCCCCATGTTTCCAATGCATCCTATTAGGTGAATATTCGACCCTCTGCAACCTGCAGACACTGTTGTGCAGCGAGTCCCTTTTTTTGAACGACCCTGAGTCCGCGATATGAACAAATTAAAGTTTGTCTCGTCCATGTATATGATAGGTATATTTTGTGCTTGAAGATCCAATAAATTTTCTACATAAATACTCCTGCTTGTTTTCGTTTGAATACTATTCGCGTTCTCTGGTTCTCTACGAGCAGTCTTCAAAGTAAACATCAATCCATTGAGATGCTGTCGAACGCATTCGTTGGAGACATTGAGTGCAAAATCTTCACGGATTTTTTCACTCAGTCCTTTAAGAGTAATTTTAGGATTTTCTTCGACTGAACGTTCCATGAATTGACGGTGCTCATCAGTTATTTTAGCTCTACGTTTACCTCCTCGCTGCTTTTCCGGTTGTTCTTGGTTGTTAACCCATCGATACGCGGTTTTTTTTGGCACCTGGAGATACAGAAATGGTTAAATGGGGGCAAAGTTGCGTATCTTAGAGATCATCATTTTGCAACAAAGTTTTTGGATCTAGCCGTTTCAGTTTTTAAAATATGGCCGAAAATGACTCTTTCGTTTTTTATCTATAACTTCTTTATTTTTCATTTTTCGTGAATCTGAAAAAACATTCCTAAGGCAACTTTTTATGAAAAATGTCATGACATAATTAGAAATTTTCTCCGACGTTTCGTTTTCGTGAAACTATCATCAGGTTTATTTTTTCTTATGAACGCCAATGTTTTTTTTTTTTTCGTTTTATGAAAACGAAATGTCAGAGAAAATTTTTAGTTGTGTTATGACATTTTTCATAAAAAGTAACTTTGCCCCCATTTAACCATTTCTGTATCTCTTATGGTTTCTGAGATCCCAATGGTGGGGGTCGAATTTGAATTATCCTGTATAGAACTAACATTATACCTACAACTAGAATCGTTCGGGTTTAGCCATCTTTAGAGACGCGCGGCTAAACCCGAATGTTTCTAGTTCTAAGTATAGTGTTAGTTCTAGTTTTACACTTGCACTGTCACTACAACTAACATTAGATCTAAAACTAGAAACATTTGGGTTTAGCCATATGTCTTTCAAAACGTAAGGCAAAAAGAGAGTCTTGGAGGAGGTTCTGTGAAGGAGTGAAAGACACACCCAGCAGTGCAAGAATTCACAAGATTCTCGCTAGAGATCCGGCACTACCCCTGGGCTCACTTGGGCGGCCTGACGGTAGTTTTGCGGACTCTCGCAGAGCCTCGTTGGAGCTTCTCATGCAGACTCACTTCCCAGGAAGCGTGATGATGAGGGCCAAGGCAATTCAAACGTTTAAGCCGTTCAAATCGCCTGGAGAAGACAATATCTTTCCTGCTTTGTTACAGCAGGGGAGGTCTCTGTTGTTGCCAATTTTGGTAAAAATTTTCAGAGCGAGTGTCGCCTGGAAATATGTGCCGGCAGAATGCACTAAGGTACGGGTATCTTACATACCCAAAGCGGGCCGTTCGGTCCCTACTTCTAATGCCTTTCGACCTATCAGCCTAACGTCATTTCTGCTGAAAACCCTTGAGATAGTTCTGGAACGGTATATCCGTACGGTGCCATTGGTATCTGGTCCACTGAGTCGCCACCAGTATGCTTATCAAGCGGGAAAATCAGCAGAATTGGCTCTACACAACTTAGTTGGTAGAGTATCCAGGACGCTGCAGGATAAAGAAATCTTGGTTTGTGCGTTTCTGGATATAGAGGGAGCGTTCAACAACGCAATACCACAATCTCTTGAAAGAGCTGCTCTTGACAGGGGAGTGGAAGCAACTATAGCGGGTTGGATCCGCAATATGCTAGATAGTAGAATAGTTTCTACTTCACTCCACGGTGATACGATACGCTTCAGGCCGGGAGGTGGCTGCCCGCAGGGAGGGGTGTTATCTCCCCTGCTTTGGTCCCTCCTAGTTGACGATCTGATTGCGATAGTCGAAGCCGTTGGTGTGGAAATACAAGCTTATGCTGATGACATTGTCGTTATGGTCAAAGGAACCTGTTTGCCGAGGATATCTAAAGTCCTCCAGGTGACCCTAGATACCATTTGCGCTTGGTGTAAGGGAGAGAACCTCTCAATAAACCCGCAAAAGACAATTGTTGTGCCCTTCACCAGGAAGCGAAAGTTGGATGGACTAATCCGCCCAACTATCCAAGGTGAAGAAATTCCTTTCTCAAAGGAAGTCAAATATCTAGGAGTAATCCTAGACAAAACCCTGTCATGGAATGGACATTTGCAGGGAGTTTTGCACAAAGCTAGACTATCCTTGTGGACTTGTCGCAGTCTTTGTGGAAAAAATTGGGGTCTTACCCCTGAAAGACTGTACTGGCTCTATGTGACTGTGGTTAGACCTATGATCACATACGGAGCAGCAGCCTGGTATAGGAAAGTCCGACAGACTTCAGTTATCAGTAAACTTTCACGAATTCAACGAGTAGCTGGATTGGCAATCTCTGGTGCGATAGGCACAACGCCAACTCTAGCAATGGAGGTTCTGCTTGGCCTATCTCCTCTGCATTTGCATATAGAGAAAGTGGCTAGAACAACCATTTACAGATTTAAGCAATATGCTCAAAACTGTTCCGACATGTCCTACCAATGGGCTGCGGAAGACATTATAAGCACTGATACTGTGCTATCAATGCCGTCAGATTTGGCGGTATCACTATCAGTGATTAATGCTCGATACCAGATTGTACTGCCTGAGCGGCAGTCCTGGATCGAAAATGAAAATTCTCTGGTTCGGGCAGACATTTGCTTGTACACAGATGGATCAAAAACGCCTGAAGGGGTAGGAGCAGGAGTATACTGCCAGACACCTCGAATTAAGCAAGCCTACAGCCTGGGTACGTACTGTACTGTATTCCAGGCGGAAGTATTTGCTATTGACATGGGTGCTAAAATCCTTCTTGAAAGAGGGGTGAAGAACATGACAGTACGAATTTTCTCAGACAGTCAAGCCGCTCTCCAGGCGCTGCAAGCCGTGAAAACGGTGTCGGCTCTGGTTAATGATTGTAAGAGAACATTAAACACACTGAGTTGTGATAACAGAGTCTCTCTGATCTGGGTCCCGGGTCACTCTGGGGTTGCTGGCAATGAAGCGGCAGATAAGCTAGCACGAGATGGCAGCGCTGAAGCGTTTGTGGGACCGGAACCAGCAGTTGGTGTATCATTTGCGATGGCCAAATATAGGATTGGACTGTGGGCTGAAGAGAGACTTCGCCTACTGTGGACCAGTTCTCCTGGAATGAGACATGCTAAGGTGTTTATTAACATCGCCACTGTCAAACCCGGGAATATTTTAGGACTTGCCCGTAGTAGCATAAAAGTTCTAATGGGTGTTTTTACTGGGCACTGCCGATTAAAAGCACACCTCAACTTGTTGGGTTTAGCCGACGATGTTGAATGCCGACTATGTGCGGAGGAAGCAGAGACGGTTGAGCATGTTTTATGCCACTGCCCTGCCGTTAACCGTATCAGATTCTCGATTTTTGGGTCGCAGTTTATCTCCTCAAAAGATCTGAATGACCTTTCGCCGAGCAAGGTATTAATGTTCGTTAAGAGCATTGGACTGCACGGTGAAATTTGATAACGATATCTATCGGGGTACAATAGATCCTTAGGGTCGCGGTGCAAGGTTGGTTGGTCCGTCTACCCGATATGTATTCTATGTAATGTAATGTCTTTCAAAATGGCTAAACCCGATTGATTCTAGAGTGGACAGGCACCACACAATTTTCAATAGTTTAAGTCTGTCTATTCTAAGAAGTCTTATATTTTTAGAGAGATGAAAATGAATATCCATATACACAGACTTCAACAAAGCATTTGATAAGGTCGATCATAATATATTAATTTCCAAACTACTAACTTTTCCCTTGCCATGCGCTATTATTGCTTTATTAAACTCATATATTTCGGATAGAAGTTCGTTTACTTGACTATGTTTCGAAATCTCGAGCTATTACATCTGGAGTACCCAGGGGAGCCGTTATTGTTTTTAGTAGTTTACATTAACGACATTGGATCTTGTTTTATTTATTCGAGGTTCTTATTGTATGCGGATGACTGTAACATTTTTTCTTGTATACGTACAGTTGCTGACTGTATTAAATTGCAAAGCGATCTCTATCGTTTTAACACTTATTTTTATAAAAGCAAACTTTTTCTAAATTACAAAAAAATGCTCTAAAATTTCTTTTAACAGGATATTGAATCTATTAAATGTGTCACTTGATATAGGCCCTTGCTTTTCTCTCGCCAAATTCTTACTCGTCCAGTCGATATTTTTGTATAGAGTCTCATCTGTGAAAATTACCATTTTCCAGAAGTAAAAATACTTATTTTAGCATTTTTTGCAAATTTAAACCGTTTTCGTTTATTAATCATACTTATGAATGATTTTCTAACAACATACCGACTTTTAAAACCCAATATAACCAATTTCGGCCCTTGGCCATCTTCAAAGACTCTACAAATACATAAATTAACATCTCTCATCTTATCCATTTTACAAACAAGTTTCTTAATATTTCTTTTTGTTTTGTTAAGAAAGATCACATATCAAAGTCGAAATCAGATTATTAGTTACTAATTTACAAAATTAATGTTTAAAAAGTTGTAAAATCGACGATTTTCTTAATCAATGTGAAATTACCCAAAAAAAAACACGTTAAAAATAAAAAGAGTGCGAAAAAGTGACTAACACTAGATTAACATCAGTTACAAAAGTTCTATTACATGATAACTAACTTCATATTTAAAATGTCAACCTCAATTTTGACATTTTTGTAATGTTTATTAAAAATCCTTTAAAATGAGTACAAACACGACATATTTATCATCAATATTAATGAAGTTATGATCAACTTCCGGTTAAGAATGTCAACGTCAATAGTAGTATAAGAAGGAGAGTTCTGCAATATGGCGGTCAAAAATCTAGTAACTTTTAGTGATTTTCATTTTACATGTTGGCAATGAATCTTAATTATGTTGGTACTACTGAGGGTGGAGGGAATGTTAATTTTTTAAGTATAGGTAAAAGTACGGTGACCGTCAAAATAATTATAAAAATTAGGACTAAGTAGGTGTGTGAAAGTGACATATTTGTAATCGTCGTGAAAAATCCTTTGAAATGAATCCAAACATGATACGTTTAACTCCAATATTACTCGAGATATAAGCAACTTCCGGTTTGAAATGTCAATGTCATTTTGACATATTCTTAATTTTTATAAAATGTCTTAATATTTGTCACAAAAACAAAGATATAATAAAAAAAAATTATAAATTAAGGTTGGTATTAATATTTAAAAATTAAATTGCTATCTTCATTGTTGCTAACTTAGGGTTTAATGTTTTTTGTTCTAACTTTTTTCTTTTTTGAGATAAGTGCGTCATCTTTGGACTCATTTTAAAGGTTTTTTAATGAAGATGACAAATATGTCAAAATTGACGTTTCAAACCGGAAGTGATTGTATTTCGATTAATATTAATGTTAAATATGTCGAGTTTGGACTCATTTTAAAGGATTTTTTATGAAGTTGACAAATATGTCAAAATTAAAAGGTGAAAGTTCGAACTTTTTGGTTTTTTGAGATAAATGCGTCAAGTTTGGACTCACTTTAAAGATTATTTTATAAAGATTACCGTTTAGTTGTCGAACGGTAAAGGACAAGTGAAATAAATCATAAAAAATATTTCAAATTACTACTACTCTTCAGCAATTCGTGATTATCTAATATTTGGGAGGATGTTCGAATACAGATTTTGCATACTTTATAATTTAATATTTTTGTAGTGATAAATTAAACAAACTCAATAACGATATGAAAAGTAAATTTTCCACGGTCGAAAATGCCTCTTTATCCCTCGACTTTGACAATGAAAGCTCAGTTTTAATTAAAGGAAGTGCGTTACAACCTAGTTTAATACTATTATTAAACTTATCGTTGGATTTTGTTGTGTATTTCGTCTCTGCGTGGAAAAATATACAAAGCACATTTAAATCGTTGGATGTACGAAAAGAAAAGTTGATGGAAAAGTTTGAGGAATCCTTCGATGTCGATTTGGAGAACTCTGCTGTTCATAATTTATTAGCGATTACGCAATATGTTGATAACGATAAAGGATTAAGTTAAAATACTATAATATTTATGTAATTTAATTTATAAAGGAAATAAATAATACATAAACGAAGTAATAATTATTTATTTTGGTCCTTAATAACAATTTTAGATTAAAAAGTTATAAATCGTAGTGTTCGTGAAATGATAAATAATATAATAAAGTTTACAAAAATTTTATTACTAACAAAGCAAGGTTATGAATTAATAACCTTAAATGTTAAAATGTCAATTTGACATTTATCAAATATTAAAATATATACAGTGATAGAAGAAACTCTAGGTACAGCCCGGAAAATGATATCTCAGCTCCCGAAATGTAATTCAATGAAATTTTTTAACAAAACATGTAAGAAGTCCATATTTTACATAAAAACTATATAAGCTATTATTAATCAAGGGGAACACAAAACATAATCATATCTTTAACGCAAAAAAGTCTACATACAGTCCTAAAAAAAAGTATATCAGTGTCTGTTATAGCTCAATAAAAATACCGGAAGTTGCTTATATCTCGAGATAGATTTTGAATGACATGATGCATTTATATCAAGAACTAGTTGAAAACTAGTTGATAGTCATTAAAAACTTGTCTAAATGTATAAGGACTAGTTTGTAGCAAGTCTAGGTTGCTCACAACGACTGAAAACTGCACCAACATTGTCTAAAATTGCTTTATAAGGTAGCAAAATTGTTCAAAATGATTGGAACTAAGTTGATAGCTATCACATGTTATTCGAAATCATTGAAAACTGGTTGAGCATAATTTTATACTTGTCTAAGTGAATAACAACTACTTTTTAAACAATCCATGTTGTTCAAAATGACAGAAAAGTTGTTGATAGTCATTAAAAATTTGTCTAAATATATAAGGACTCGTTTATAGCATGTTTAAGTTGCCCAGAATAACTGAAAACTGCACCAACATTGTCCAAAATTGCTTTATAAGGTAGCAAAATGTTTCGAAATAGGTTCATAGCTATCTCATGTTATTCAAAATCATTGAAAATTGGTTGAGCATAATTTTATACTTGTCTAAATGATTAACAACCAGTTTTTAAACAATCCGTGTTACTCAAAATGACTGAAAACTAGTTGATAATCAATAAAAACTTGTCTAAATGTATAAGGACTAGTTTAAAGCAAGTCCAGGTTGCTCAGAATGACTGAAAACTGCACCAACATTGTCTAAAATTGCTTTATAAGGTAGCAAAATGTTTCGAAATAGGTTCATAGCTACCTCATGTTATTCAAAATCATTGAAAATTGGTTGAACATAATTTTATACTTGTTTAAATGATTAACAACTAGTTTTTAAGCAATCCATGTTGCTCAAAATGACTAAAAATTAGTTGATAGTCATTAAAAACTTGTCTAAATGTATAACGACTAGTTTATCGCAAGTCCAGATTACTCACAACGACTGAAAACTGCACCAACATTGTCCAAAATTGGTCTATAAGGTAGCAAAATTGTTCAAAATAGGTTCATAGCTATCTCATGTTATTCAAAATCATTGAAAATTAGTTGAGCATAATTTTATACTTGTCTAAATGATTAACAACTAGTTTTTAAACAATCCATGTTGCTCAAAATGACTAAAAATTAGTTGATAATCATTAAAAACTTGTCTAAATGTATAAGGACTAGTTTATAGCAAGTCTAGGTTGCTCACAACGACTGAAAACTGCACCAACATTGTCCAAAATTGATCTATAAGGTAGCAAAATTGTTCAAAATGTTTCGAAATAGGTTCATAGCCATCTCATGTTGTTCAAAGTAATTGATAATAGGTTGAGCATAATTTTATACTTGTCTAAATCATTAAGAACTAGTTTTTAAACAATCCATGTTGCTCAAAATGACTGAAAACTAGTTGATAATCATTAAAAACTTGTATAAATGTATAAGGACTAGTTTATAGCAAGGTTAGGTTGCTCAGAATAACTGAAGACTGCACCAATATTGTCTAAAATTGGTTTATAACGTAGCAAAATTGTTCAAAATTATTAAAAATAAGTTCATAGTCATCTGGGGTTGTTCAAAATCATTGAGAACTGCTTGAGTATAATCTTATATTTGTCTAAATGATTAACAACTAGTTTTTAAGCAATCCATGTTGCTCAAAATGACTAAAAATTAGTTGATAGTCATTAAAAACTTGTCTAAATGTATAAGGACTAATTTATAGCAAGTCCAGGTTGCTCAGAATGACTTAAAACTGTACCAACATTGTCTAAAATTGGTTTATAACGTAGCAAAATTGTTCAAAATAGGTTCATAGCTATCTCATGTTATTCAAAATCATTGAAAATTGGTTGAGCATAATTTTATATTTGTCTAAATGATTAACAACTAGTTTTTAAACAATCCATGTTGCTCAAAATGACTAAAAATTAGTTGATAATCATTAAAAACTTGTCTAAATGTATAAGGACTAGTTTATAGCAAGTCCAGGTTGCTCAGGATGACTTAAAACTGTACCAACATTGTCCAAAATTGCTTTATAAGGTAGCAAAATGTTTTGAAATAGGTTTATAGCTATCTCATGTTATTCAAAATTATTAAAAACTTGTCTAAATGTATAAGGACTAGTTTATAGCAAGTCTAGGTTGCTCACAACGACTGAAAACTGTACCAACATTGTCCAAAATTGATCTATAAAGTAGCAAAATTGTTCAAAATGTTTCGAAATAGGTTCATAGCCATCTCATGTTGTTCAAAGTAATTGATAATAGGTTGAGCATAATTTTATACTTGTCTAAATCATTAATAACTAGTTTTTAAACAATCCATGTTGCTCAAAATGACTGAAAACTAGTTGATAATCATTAAATACTTGTATAAATATATAAGGACTAGTTTATAGCAAGGTTAGGTTGCTCAGAATAACTGAAAACTGCACCAACATGGTCTAAAATTGGTTTATAAGGTAGCAAAATTGTTCAAAATGATTGGAAATAAGTTGATGCCATCTCATGTTATTCCAAATCATTGAAAATTGGTTGAGCATAATTTTATACTTGTCTAAATGATTAACAACTGATTTTTAGGCAATCCATATTGCTGAAAATGACTAAAAATTAGTTGATAGCCATTAAAAACTTGTCTAAATGAATAGGGACTAGTTTATAGCAAGTTTACCTAGTAAGTTCAACTAGAATAATTAGGGTTTAGCAGTCTTGAGAGACTAAATCTACTGCTGTAGCCTTCACTTCGTAGCACAAAACTGTTTCGACTTTGTATTAAAATAATATAGACTTCTAATATCCTTCGTTTAAAAAATTTATTAAATTACATTTCAGGAGGTGAGATATTATCATTTTTCGGGGTGTATGTAGACTTTATTGTATCTCTGTAATTTATTTTTAAATTTAAATTGACATTTTTATTGAAAGCTTAAAAATTTTAAAGTGTTTAAAAAACTCAACACAATGAAATCAAAATAATTAAAAAAAGCGAATAAATATTTTTTTTAATAAGAGGTTATGTGCTACGTTAATAGTTTAAATGTCAAAGATTTGAATACTTTTTATCATACACATACTTTTTTTTCGTAATTATTACTTATTTTCTAAGCTAAATAGAGTGTAAAAATAATTTTAAAAATCTCAACACGATCGATTTACCTAAAAATGTTTTTATTATTATTTCGATTTTTAGATATTATACAAAAACTTTTTTTTTTTTTGGTTAAAATTGAACTCATGCACGCCGAAAATTTCAAAGATTTAAATTGTATAATTACCTTTAAAAGTGAAAAACTCTTAAAGATAATGACTAGAGCAATAACAATATTAATTAATAAATTCTTTGTTTATTTATTTTTGAAAAGCCTTTGTTAAATCATCCACTTTATGTTTAACTTTATCAAGTTCCCCATTCACCAACAATAACGGCAAAGCCTTTTCGATACTGCACGATTTCAAATATCGATTCATTTCCGTCGATTTCGATAAAGTATCAATCAACGATAAAACACCGTTAATTATATCAACGGTTAATTTTTCGTGATACTTCTCAATCATAAACACCAAATTTTTTCCCAAATCAGCTTTTACAAACATATTAAACGTTTGGCCATGCGAAAAATAATTCAACGATTTATCCGAACCTTTCGCCATCGGATCAACCACTTCAACATTCGGTTTTGATAACAAACAAAATTCACATAAAAGATTCAACGCTAATAAAGCTTCGTTTTGCATTACGCCGTGTAGGGCACATAACATATCGGTTAAACATCGAATGCAATTCGGCAATGTTAAAATCATCGGAAATGCATCAACCGAGTTGCAATTTTTTATTAACCAAACTAAAAGTCTTGGGGCTTCCGCTCTAACACCGACATGATCGGAATTATAACACCAATAACCTATTTTTTCTAAAAATGGTTTTCGATTTATTAATAAACGAGCTGTTGATTCTGAAATTTAAAAAAAAATGATAGAAATCGATTAATTTATTGATTATGATATGAAATCTGTCATAAAATATAAATACAGTGAAATTCCCCTAATTTGAACTTTTATATTTCGAATTATTTTCTAACTCGAAAAATTTTCCTAAGCTCAAGCGTTTTACCAGGTTTCAAATGTGTTCTTATCTCTGTATATTGTATTTCACTAACTTAAATTGTACTACTATGGAATTACTTCACCTTTAACTTCTATATGGCTCACTGCAAGGTGCTGAATACTTGCTAATTGAAATTAAGATCAGTGGTAGTCGCATTCTTTTGGGCACGTCTTACTGTCCACCAAATATAAATTACTTCGATCAGTTCGAGGATGTACTCGAGAGACAGACCTATAACTACGATAGTATCATCTTTATGGGTGATTACAACACATGCCTTTTGAGGGACGACTTGCGTTGTGAAAGATTTCACTTTATTACCTCCTCCCTAAATCTCTCGATTCTGCCTACTCAACCTACTCATCACCTTCCAGCGTCGGATTCCCTTTTGGACCTTATTGTG